GAGTCATCAATTGCCTCAATGAATTTTTGAAATTCATTTGCTAAAGAATCGTCATCTAACAAAATGGGAAACATCAAAACCTGTTACGGGAGAGAAATGACTGCATTAGTAATAATGAGAAAAAAATGATCACATGAGTTATTCCCTAGTTTTAAGTTGTAACCCCACAAAGACTGTGCTTTACATATATGCTGAGCAAGATCATTCTTCATTGTACAAGTTGCTACTATACAGCAGCAACAACATTTCGCATAAGATCCCACGAGTGGGGTCGTGGGAGTTGGGAGGGTCATTGTACGCTGACCTTACCCCTACCTCAAAAAGGTGGAGAGGCTGTTTGCAAAATGATAATATAATGTGATAAAACAAGTATATTTTTTAGTCAAATGTAGATGAGCTGCATAACTTAGTTTTGTTGTAATGGAACGGGGAAAAGCCAGTGTCTTTAGTATATAACCAAGAAAGAGAGAAATTACCTCAAACATGACGCAAACAATTTCAGCATTGTCACTCCCCAAATCAGATTCTCCGCGAGCTATTCTTGCATTGATCTCTTTTAGGTGCAGACTTATCCTTTCTTCGTCAAGAGTGTGCAATACATCAAGAAGAGGGCCTATTGAACTTAACTCATATTCTGTGCTATACATCTCCTGGGCTTGATGGTACTGACACACACACTGAGTGCAAGAGCGCATCTCCCCTGTCACTCTATCCCATAGAACCTTAAGAGGAGAATCCTTCCGCTCATCTTTATAGTAATTGTAGAATGTCTCCAGTAACGGTCCCATCAGGTCCCAAGAACCACACCAAATATGAATCCCCTTTGGCAAGTAGATCAAGAAGTGGAATGCATCTGAAAACCTGTAGATCAAACACCAAACACAATACATGTCAACTAAATAGAAAAAGGAAGCTTGCTTCAATTCCATCAGCTCTTATCCTGCATGTCATGTAGAATTTGAGCTTAAGGGGTTTCCAGCTATATGTTCGCGGATTTAGCTACTGATTAAAGTTTTTAAACATGGGGGAGGTTTTGCTAGAGCTGGTTGACATTGATTAATCCAGTCCACATTATCAGAGCCCAGCACTGAGACTTTACCAGTTCAAGTTCAATAATTAATGTCATCGATAGCAAGTTTTCTATTCATGTTACAATCGCCTCTCCGCTCATCTCCGAGAGGTTACAGCGGTTCCGTTTCCTTTAGGTCTTTCTCAATGTTCTTCCGAAAATGGGGAAAAGCGCAGAGAAGGAAATGAAGACAGGGGATGGAAAATAGACAACAGACCAGTCTTCTTTGAGCTGGTGAAGACGACGGCGCTTGAGGGAGTTTGAGTCTTCGCCGTCGTCGCAATCGTCTTCTTCCTCTTCGATGCCTCTCCATCGATCCAGAAGCTCTCTCCTCGTAGCCTCTTTCTTCGACATTTTCAGTTGAACCCTGGGCTCCCGCTCGCTCTGCAATTCAACCTACCTAGGGTTCTTCTTCTTCTTCTATATTAAGGCGGGCAAACTACCCGTTCCATTCGGTACGTGGTAAGAAGCAATTTCAGTTTTTACAATCTCCGTCGTGGGCTCGTGGGCGGTGGGACGACGCCATGTCGTTTATTTCCGCTTCAATGGAATGTGAACGTGCCAAACGGGTCGGAGACTCGTGGAGTTTTCACCAACACAGATTGGTTGTACAAACTAATTTTTGTTAAACGCACTGACATTTGTGTCCGTGTGAATATTTATTAACGCACCAACACTTGTGTCGGTGTAAACCATCGAAATGTTTGTGCAAGCCTGTGGTGTACAAATGAGGTATACTTTTTGGTGTAAGTGTAGCATGGTCCTTCAGCTATAAGTGGTGAATTGTGATTCTTTCACTCACTCAAGCAGAGTTTGGTACACGGAATTCAGACTATGGAATTAGAATTAAGGATTTTAATTTAAATTCTTGTGTTTGGTAACACAAAAATTATGTAGATTTGGAATTGGTAGTGCAAAAAAATGAATAGGAATAGGTGAATTCAATTTGATAGAATTGAATCCCATGGAATTATAATTCCAATTCAATTCCGTGTACCAAACGGACCCTCAAGGTTCTCGCCTAAATATTTGTTTTTTTTCGGAAAAATTATTAGACATAGAAACTAATATGGAAAAGGGATCGTTTCATTCAAGTTAATATGCATGATGCTAATCTTAATTATCATTATAATATTGATCTTAATCCCTTAACCCTAATTCTAATCTTTATTATACAATCCTAACCCTAATCATCTAATACTAATCTTAATTCCCTAATCTTAATTATAATGTTAATCTTAAGAATTTACACCAGCAAAGTCCATACAATTGGAATGGACTTGAAGACTATGAAAATATTTGCCTTCCGTGTGATCTCAATTCTTTTAAGGTTCCTTTAAAAAAAGGTTTGTTTGGTGACTTTGAACCTATGATATGAATTTTAGAATCTGAGAAAATGAAATAAATTTCGGAATCTGAAATAAAGTTGTTTAGAGGAATTAGTAATTGGCGGTGGATGGCCAACATCCGAGGAGATATTAAGTTCCCACATTGATATTTCCTAAATTTAGAAAATATCAAATCCCTTATTTGAAAGATAAGTGATATCTGAAGATATAGAATTCAAATTTTTTTATGTTTAGCCAAATGCCAAAAGAGAAATTTGATACTCCGTATTAGGGAATATAGAAACTCAATGAGCCTTTAGGTTGATATGATGCGATTTGAATGAATCTAACGTGATTTGTATCACTTGTATAATTTAAAATTTTTCTTAATTTGTATGACGAATAAACAAAAATAGTGCTCCGTAATAAATAAATAATAAGTCAAAGAAAATATGGTCAATTTCTCTATATTTTTTTATTGTTTTTTTTGTGGGAACCAACTAACATACTAATGTATGACTATTTGAGGAATGAACATGATGTGGGAGCTACTTATTTTTTCACGTCATCCTCACGTTCGTCCAGTTTATCACCAGCACTCTCTTCAAGGTTCCAAATGAAACGATGACCACTAAACACAAAGGGTTGTGCTCGTTGCAAAACTGAACCCAACACTTTACAGCACGAGCTGACGACATCCACACACCACCTGTGCCACATTCTTGATGGTCATTCCTTTGACTCATACTAATGAAAATTTTACCCGCGCCAAAATTGAGAAAAGAGATTCTGAATTGGCTAATTTTTTGTCCGTATCAATTGAAATTTTATAGAATATTCAATATAGAATTCTATAAAATTGCAATCTTCTAGGGCTCTACCATTCAAGGAACCCTTCAGCCATGCTCTCTCCAACTTATTTTTTGCTTGTTTGTTATTCTTATTAGAATTGGATCAGATCAGACTAGATCGAACTATATTAGCTCTGATCATAAATTATTCCAATCAAGTCAGAAACAATCAGATCGGGTGAAGAAAATATGACTTTTGTTTCAAGTTTTGAGGTGAGGGTTTCCTTCTTTTTCTATTGAGGAGCAACCTACATGTGTTAAAGATTCTCATGCAATAAAAATTCTAGCTATGGGACCATTGGCTCTTTGCAAGAGGAAGGCATCAACTCTCACTCTCAATTCATACTCCTCTAACTTCATCCTAGACACCAGCCCAACCCATCCCAGTGCCCTTAACCTCCGCCTCCTCCATCCCTTGGCAGTATACTACCATGTAGTATACGATGTTTGAGAGGAGCATTATAAAATGGGATTTCATTTAAAAAATAATAATGTTTACAAAAATAAACTATACATTTCAGATTTACATAAAATTGAGTTCGATAATTATAAAATAACAATGACTAGGTAACACTCCATTTATCTCCAAATAAGGCTAATGTTTAATATTCACGTGTCAAACTAAATCTATTTTCTTAATATATTTTTAGTATTTTAAAATTCTAGAACAATGTTTAGTAATATATTTTGAAAATAAATTCTATCACACATCGCAAACTAAAACAAAAGCCTTATTTCAAAACTGGGAGAGCAAGTAAACAATGTTTATTAAGTATTTTATTTACGTGATATGTTTTATAATTATTGTAACAATCCAATACGTTTACTTTCAAATTTATAAAATTGTAGTATATTTATAGTTTTAATTATCATATTCACATCCTACAAAAATTAAAATTATTTTTCATATTTAATGAGTTTTTATATTAAAATTTAATCTATTTGAGAAAACTCTAAAATAAAAAGGACCATTTTAGACAATTGGTACAAGTTTTAACATCGTTTTGATGACTATTAGTCAGAGACTAAACTAAACATTATTCTTAATCAACGAGTAGCGTTTCAGTAATTAATTCATCTTGAAGACTGATGGGTCATCTATATTTAATTACACCATCAAAGACTAATTAAGTTAAATAGATAACTATCGAGTACTATTTTGAAAACGTATTCTAAATTATAATCGAAAAATTGAATATTTGAAAAGGATGAATTACATCTATAATAGCTTTTCAGAAAAGAATAAAAAATATCTCTCTAAATCGGAACAAAGTATAAAAAAGTGTCAAAATATGAACTCTACGTTTTTATTTCTAAAATAAGAATTTGCATTGTAGTAATGTGATATTGATATTTCACAATACTTTTTGGTAATATATATAATCATGATTGACACAATATATACATTTTAATTCATATTTTGAGTAAAGCAACATGTAATTCATAATTTGATATATTTTCTATGTTTCTATTTTACTTTAAGCTTCTTCTCATATATAAATTGAATTTTAATTACAGTACTTTTTTTGGTAAATTACACCGTACATCCCTTTAGGCTTCTGGTGCAAAAACATTTTTCTTTGGCGGCAAACAAGATCCGCATAAAGGAAGCACGCCGGCCTGTCCTCCAGCAGGGATGATGATGTTTATCCAAGAAAGAAAAGGAGAGATTTTTTTTCCTTTTTTTAATTTTAAAATCTCTTCAAAAACGCAGACATCTAATTGAAAAGACAGAAAGGGATAAGGTCGATCATCGAGCCGCCGTGGAGGCGACAGCGACCGCAGATGAGTAGGAACACGCCACCGGGGCGCCGCGGCCTATATATTTCGTTTTCGGGTCGGACACACCGAAATCACAAGATCCACATTCAAGGAAGTCGGGTCAGAACTCAGAAGGATGATCCGAAGATCGTCTCCTCCCGGCCCTCACCCAAACCAGGCACGAAACTAAAACTATCTTTCCTTCCTTCCTTCCTTGAATTGCATTGATTCTCACAATGTATCCATGGAATTGCAGTTTTTGAAATTTTGATTAGGCCCCGTTTGGTACTCAGAAAATATGTGAATTTGGAACAAGTAGTACTAAAAATTAAATAAAATTAGAAAATTCAATTCCATCTAAATCGATTCCATAGAGTTTCAACTCTAATTTAATTCTAATTCTGTCAATTTTGTATACCAAAATTTTGTTCGGAATTCATTTCTTATTTTTTTTTAATTCAAATTGAAAATGGAATCGCAGGCGATAGGTTTCCGTTTTTGCCCTCCGGTGGGCCGGCGAGAGTTCCATGATGGCAAGGGCAATAAATACCATTTTCTCCATCTCACACTTCCCAACGTTTTCCAGGTGAGTAGCAGCATTTCCTTAGTTTTCTGCTTGCTAAGAAATTTCCTGTGAATTAGCGTTTCCGTAGTACGGAGTATTCATTTATTAAAATTATCACAATTTCTTTAATTAATACTCCCTCGGTTGCTTAAAATCTTTTTCTTTTGAGTTTTAATATAAATTTAAAAAGAGATATTTTTGTATTGACTTTCCATAAATAATTGAGTTTTAATATAACATTTGTTTTTCGGTTTTCAGAATCTTGTTTATAGACCTTGGCAATTATATATGGATTTGTGATTTATTTTCAGGATTTTATGAGCAGTAGAGAGGTTGCAGAGTTTTTTAGTGGGGCTATGGCAGGGGCTATGACTAAATTTGTTCTTGCTCCTCTTGAAACCATTAGGTGCGTCCTCTCATTTTCTCTCATCTTTTTCAGTAAATCTATCTCTTGGACAACTAAACAGAATGGTTCAAACCCAATTCAAACTGAAATACACTCTTTGCATTCTTTGCTATTGTGCACCATCTATTGTTCATGTTCCTCATTACACCTCCAACACAACTCAGGTCTACTCTGACTTCTCTTTAAAGTTTAAGCTCCCACATTCCAGGATTCCACTCCTTGTACGGGCAAACTCCTCGATGATTGATGTATCTAAACCAAAGCTGAGGTCACCTTCTGTTGAATTTCTCAATTGTGCGCTCTATGTTTTTCCTAATATTGCCACACATCCATTGCAACACGCATCTCCGTCACATTCATCTTCTTTATCTAATCTTCTTTCGTTGTCCAACATTGAGATTCGTAAGGTGGAGCTGGTTTTATGACATGCCTTAAAAAATTTCTCTTCGTTCTTGGTGGTGCATATCGATCACACGGGATTCCTTGATCTCCTTTGGGTTTAGGGACCGGATATGTACCCCCTTTTACTTTCCCAACTCCCTACCCCACCTCTTAACACAAACTCACCCTAACCTATATATATATGCTCCCTATCCATTCCTCAAGGATGGGTTTGTGAGGTGAAATAATTTGGGGAGTGGGATATGAAATGGGAACAGGTGATCCCATCCCACCCCTTGAGTTTGAGCCAACTAGAACTTAATTACTTGAAACAATCCCTCGTGTAAGGTTCTTTCCCGTCTAATTTCACCACTCGAAACATAGGACGAGGATGGTGGTTGGGGTCGGATCAAAACACATATGTGGCAGTTTTATGCAAGTAATGGAGGAGAGAGGTTGGAGGGGACTATGGGCTGGAAACACAATCAACATGGTCCGCATAGTTCCAACACAAGCCATTGAGCTCGGGACGTTTGAGTGTGTCAAGCGAGCAATGAGCTTGGCTCAAGAGAGGTGGGCTCTCTCCGGTGGTCCAAAAGTAGAGATTGGCATTGTTAAGTTCAATCTTCCTTTTACATGGATCTCTCCCATTGCTGCTGGAGGCGCCACTGCTGGAATTGTGAGCACCCTCGTGTGCCACCCACTGGAAGTGTTAAAGGTATGGATTTTTTTTCTTTTCACTCTAAAAAATAGATAGAAGTAAACTAGTTTGAGAAGTGCGCTTGCTTATTATCACACACAAAAACATTTTAAAAAAGATGTTCTTTGGGGCCCGTTTGGTGATTTTGGAGAGCTAAGATGACAAGAGTTCTGAAATCTGAATGCTAATGTTTGGAAAAAAAATATAAAATGATGGTTGTTTGTGACACACGAAGAGTGGCTGGTGGCAGTCGGTGGTGGTTGAGGGAGATCAAAATCACAGTTTTAAAGTTGTGATATCGTGATCATCAAATCTAAACCCTGTTTACGCTTCACCAATCTCACCAACAAAAGGGTTTTGATATTTCCCGATATGAGAACTCATATCTCTAAGACTTACCAAACGACTCCTTGGTCTTTTGAAAAATCCAGGAATATTTTTCCTTTCTAAATTTTAAAAAAGATGAAGTTGGAAAACAGAAAAACAGAAACTTAGACATATACTTCTAGCTCTGCTTACTAGTTACTACATTTGGTTTTGAAAAAGGGTCACTGCTATCTGTACAATTGACAACAAAAAAAGGCCATTGGGATGACTGTATCCTACTACACCTACAGGACCGCTTAACTGTAAGTCCTGAAACATACCCTAGCCTGAGCATTGCTGTGCACAAGATATACAAGGATGGGGGGATGAGAGCCCTATATGCTGGCATTGCACCTACCTTAATTGGGATGCTTCCTTACAGCACCTGCTACTATTTCATGTATGAGACCATGAAGACATCATATTGCCGGGCCAAAAACAAGGACTCCTTAAGCCGTGCCGAGATGCTTGTTTTTGGAGCTCTCTCTGGTATAGGATTTTGTAATTTGATTTCTGCCAGTAGTTGTTGGGCATGCTCTCTCTGTAATTTGATTTTACCCGACAATACATATACTTAGCTTCATCAACTTCGTCAACAGGTTTAACAGCCAGCACGATCAGTTATCCATTGGAGGTGGCAAGGAAGCGGCTGATGGTCGGAGTGCTGCAAGGGAAATGCCCACCACCGCCGCACATGGTGGCTGCACTGTCAGAAATAATGAGGGAGGAAGGAGTTGTAGGGCTTTTCAGGGGGTGGAGAGCAAGCTCCTTGAAAGTCATGCCTTCTTCAGGCATCACCTGGATGTTCTATGAAGCCTGGAAAGATTTACTTCTCCCCCAGAAGAAGAAGAAGCACCACACCTCATAATAATCACCTTTTTTAACTGCATTTTGAGCTGGTGCGTTTTTTTGGTGTGCAATTACTGGTGTGTACATGCTGTACTGACTGGGTAAACTTTACTTAAATTCAGTGAAAGTCAAACTGGGTAAATTTTTCTACTAAGACGGGGAGAGGACAAGTTTTCTAAGTCATGTAAGCTAGAATAAACATGCACACATTATTTGTGACTAATTTAGAACGAAATATGAGCATTTATTTTTCCTCTACAACACACTCACTTCAACTTCTATGAATTATACTGACTACAGAAACTACAACATGAATATATAACTTTTACAGTGTTAAGAACAACAGATACAGAGAGCCTATAGCTGGCTGACAATTACTACATAAAAAGGGTAATACTTGCCTCCAAATCATATAGCTTGAAGGAACCAAGCACAGCTTAAAAAATCCTACTCCCATTCCTGAGTTTCATTCTTCTGCATAAGAGATTAAGAGATATGATAACATACCCATGAGTGATTTCAACGATTAGGCCCTGTTTGAAAGCCTTATGTAGCCTGTTTGATAACACCGGTCTAAAACAACTGAATTTGCTTAAATGGGGG